CAACCAATGACAGCGTGTTAAATGTGTCAGGTGACGAAGACGAGCGTCAAAACACTTTGCAACAAGCGCTGTTCCAGATAAAATTAAAAAAACATAGTTCGACGTTTCAAATCATCAAATTTGGAAGAAGGACAGATAAAATAATGTTCTTCATGGCAGCTTATCTCTTTAAGATTCACTAGAAAAACTCGGGTGATTTACTTTGATCCTCTTTTCAAAAAACTGTCTCATCAAAACGCATCAACAAAAATTAAAAACTGGAAGACGAGGCTGTAGCTAACTACCTGACGGCAGCCCGATTTGTTGAAATTCACAGAAATAACGAAGCAGGAGGAAGTTACAAGCAAACGCACCGAGCAGCTTTGCAAAATCTGGTCACAGCAGTTTGGGAAGAAAATGGCAGCAGCTGCTGATGAAATGTCAACATCCCTAAAACATGTAAAACAACCTCAGTGAAAGCTAACACTAAAACAGCTAAACAACTAAAAAAATAGCAGAAAATATTAGCAAATTGCTAAGATGTCAGTCTGCATCACATCTTCTGAACAGAAGACTGGTGGGACTGACACAAACCTGTTGTTAGCTTGATGGTTAGTGGACTTATATTTGGCAAAACATAATTTAGCAGCAGATTACTGAGTGTTAAAGCTAATCTGTTAAAATTAGTTCTGCTGTTAGCTGATTAGCAGAAATATGCCCACCACTGGGCTAACGGCTAACTAGCACATGTAAAAATAGTAGGGGTGCAACAATACATGTACCCGTATCGAACCTTGCTTTAGGTTCAATACACACTTGTATGGAACAATACAGATTAAAAAAATTTACTTTATTAACTTGTCTTCTGAAGATGCTCTGTGTTGAAGGATCAGTGGATCTGTGTTCGACTACTCCACCTAGGCTGCATTTTTGAGCGCAGATCCACTGAGAAACTTGCTGTTTCAGCAACATTTAATTTAAAAACTGTACTTTTGAGGTTAAACAAATGTTCGTACTTAATTTAAATAAATTAAGTTAAAAAGGGCATGGACGTTTCTCTTTTTTGTATAGAAAAAATATCGAACCGTGAGACTAAAGTATTGAACCAAACTGAATCGTGAATTTTCTGTATCGTTGCACCCCTAAAAAATAGGTATATAACCAGTGTTGCACATAAATTTTCGGTCTGGTTCTCAGGGGAGAACCTGAGGTTGTTGCTTGGTGCTCATTCTTTCCTTCACTCATTTAACACATTTATCTAGAGGGGTGTCCGGGCATTTACTGTCGCCCTGTTCTGTTTTATGACGCCTGTCTCGGGACATCATGCCAAATCAAACCACTGATTTTATTTATTTATTTTACTCTGCATAAATTTTGTAAACTACCTAGGTGGCCAATGGGAACCGAACATTTCATGTTTAAATGTCTGTTAGATTATAGGGCTGTGTATTGGCAAGAATTTGGTGATACGATACATATCATAACAGAGGGGTCACGATACGATATATCCCGATATATTGCGATACTGTAAGCAAGGCGATATATTGCGATTTTTTTTGTCCAAAAATTCTATTAATTAAAAACCTCTTACTGAAAAAAAAGAAAAGCTAATGTTTACTTACAATGCTAATGCTACCCTTACTCTCTGGCGCTCAAGAGGTAGAGGAGCCAAATGGCTGGCTCACTGCTGCCAACTAGTGGTCAGAGGCTGAACTACAACATAAAAATGAACGGCTGGCAAGAAGATTGACATTTTAAACCTTAATCGATACTGGGCTTTAGAATATCGATACAGTATCGGGAAATGAAATATCGCGATATTTCAGTGTATCAATATTTTCTTACACCCCTATTAGATTACACATGACCCTGAGATGTACAGCTCCTGTAGTTTGGCCTTCTAGATCTTTGGCCTTGTTTAAACCAGCTTCCCACACTCCAAACCAACCAGCAAGTATCTGTCTTTTGCACAGAACAAATGTTTTATTTGTTGGGCTGGTTTCTTTTTTAAAAACTATTTTATTCAAAAAAGATTATATTTAGATGGTTTCAGCTCATGTAATCATTTAAAATAATTTATTCTTCATATTTTATCATTTATTGAATTATATTTATCCCAGAGCAGCTGTGTCACAGTATGATTCTAAATATAAACATTTAGCACATCAAGAACCTTGTTATCATAAAATTGTGAAGAATGAAATCTGTGGATCTTTCTGATAAATTAAAATAACATTTAAAACTCATTCACCTAGAGAACATGGCAAGTTTTTATTTTTTTGGATGGGGGGAGTGACGTTAAACAGGCTCATCTTTGCTTTGATATGGGGCAAATAAATGTTCGTCTGTTAGAGGTGATATGGTTTAGAAGAACTCGAACAGTGAATCTAACAAAGACTCAGCCTGCTCGCGCTGAGGCTCGTTCCCGTCTCTCAGGAGGAGAGAGTTCAGTCACTGACACAAAGTTGGACAGATCTGTTGGATAACAACGCTCTGAATATATATTTAATATAAAGTAAGGTTTTACAGACCAAAGTTTCTGGTAGTTCAGGAGCAAAGTGCAGGAGGAGATGTCAGGACTGACCACTGCTCAAACCGCTGCTTCAACCTGTTTCTGTTGAAAACAGCTCTCACTGAAAGCCCCGCCCTGCTCTGCTCTGATTGGATAAAACAGCTCTGGAGTTCGTCTGATTTGTTGAAAGCAGTGTCTGTTTAATCCATCAGGGCCCCGCTGTCCTCCTCTGACAGAACGACGATGCAGTCACACCAGTGAGACTTATAGGTGGCAAAATGTAGTAGCAGCTTGTTTGTCTACTAACAATTTTTCAATGTTGGTAAAAATGCTAATCCGCTAAAATTAGTTCTGCTCTTAGCTGGTTAGCTGAACCATACCCACCAATGGGCTAACAGCTAACTAGCACATGTATAAATAGGAATATACATGCTAGTTAGCTGTTGGCAGATAAAAAGTTGGCAAAAACCTGATTTAGCAGAAGCTAATTGGTCCGCTAATGGTTCTTAAAGTCAGTGAAAATACTAAACCACAAAAATTTGTTCCAATATTGGTTGTTAGCTGTTTAGCAGAACCATGCCGACCATTGATCAAGACTACTTTAAAAGGTGGCAAAGAAGTCTGTCTCCTTTTAAACTTTTACATGATACATTATGTACACAGACATGTCAGGTTTACTGGGTTTCAGCCATGTGTTTATTTCATGTAGTGATTATGTGGAGAAAATGGACCAAAACAAAAACTACAGTACTTTGTTTATTTAGGTGAATGCAGACACACCTACCTGCTGTCAGAAACGCTCCGTGGAGCAAAAAGCCTGCTGCTAAAAATAATTTCCTGCAACAAAAGAAAACAATGTTTCTGATAAAATCACTATTTTCTTTGCTGAAGTGAACGTGACCTACTTCAATTTATCTTTGTGCTTTATTTACAGCTTAGATCAAAGGTTAGATTTTGTATTTGTAGTTTTAGAAGTAAAAAATTCTAATATGGATATTTATATTTATATTTAGTTTGTCTTCTATATTAAGACTATGCAGTAGATTATCTAGTATTTTATTTTTAAAACTATATTAGCTTTAACCTGTTAAAGCTATAAGTGAAAGTTTGATAATAATACTAATAAATGGGTTTTATTTTTATGATAATAAAAAAACTGATGGAAAATGTGGGTCTTGGGGAAGCATCCAATGCCTTCAAGTTCTTTAATGCCAAAGATTTTGTCAAATTACACAAAGTAAACTTTTGTTTTCTCCAGAAAAATTTTAAAATTGTAACTTGGTGATCTCTACATTTAATTTACCAKTAACTTAATGTGCAACTTTTATTTTCTTTTAACTGCATTCAGAAGTGGATTTTATTCCTGTTCAATACATTAATATGAATGTTTTTAGCTTTGCATTGTTTATTTACTCTCCTCACTGTATTGTGTCAGTGTGCACCCGGTTTATTATTGTTGCAAGGTGATGATTGTTAAATTTCTGTTTTGATTGCTTGCGGTTTCCTGGATGAAAAGAACTCGTTGAGCGTTTGACTTTGACTCTAGGTTGAGAGCAACTCTTTAACTGAGGAAGGTGAGTCGAGATATCAAGCAGGAAAAACTTCCCTAAATACAGTGGTTCTCAAACTTTTTAGAGCCACATCCCCCTTTAGAGTATGGCTGCAACGATTAGTCGACAATAATCAACAAAAAAAATCTTTGACAAATTTAATTGTTATAGTCTTTTTTATCACTGATCTTTTTCTTTTTTAACGGAGTGAGACATCGTCTTGTCTGTCTATCTCTGTCGAGCTTCACACATACGCAGTWGCATTCAACAACATGTTTAGTCATGGCGGCTACTGGTGAAACAACAACACGGCGTGCAAAACGATCCAAGGTTTGGGACAATTTTACTCTCGATAAAGGAAAAAATGAACTTATCTGGAGCATTTGCAAAGCGGAAGCACTTCTGAAATGCCTGAATGGACTGTTAAATTTTCAGCAGCAAAACTGATTAAATTTTTTGAATGAAGTACCCATCCTCTGTGTGTTTACTACCATTTTTTTAAATAAACATATGCTAAATGTAAAAGCTCATAGCTAAATAAGTGCTGTTTCTTAATTATGTTATTCATAATCCAATTAGTCGACTAATCATTTCAATAGTCAATGACTAATCGATTAACAAAATAGTCATTAGTTGCAGCCATACTTTAGAGGAAGAAAAAAAATTATATTTTCACTTTTACGACTCAACAAGACTAAAATTAAGAACATCAAGTTAAACTGTAATTAGGATAAAAGTTTAAAGTATTAAAAATTAGACTTTTCTTTTAAAGTTTGTTTTAGGTTTGAGTATTGGCAAGAATTTGGCGACATGATACATGTCATTAAACTGGTCACAATATATACTGTACACATTTTTACAAGCATGCAATCTGATTAAATTCTGTGTATTTTTATACAATCAGAAGAGCACTGAACCAACCGTACATTTCTTCTTACAACATCCATTTATCTGTCAACACACCAGAAAAATGAACTGGTGTGGAAATTTACATTTAAAGCCTTAAAATGTCAAAACAGTCAGGAAATTAAAAAATATTGCAATATTTTTGGTTTATCAATTTTTTTACATCACTAATCGTATAAAAATCAGTCTTCAAATTGCTAATTGGTGTTTCTCTTTTAATAAAGAGTAAAAAGAACTAAACTTTGTTGAATAATAAACACACTGCTTCATCAACCTCTAATTATTCAAAAATAAAGAAAATTTTAAAAAGTGCAATCATCTTTTCGAACCACAACATTGCAATTTGTTCACACAAACACAACATTGTTGATAGTCTTGGTTAATTTTCTACTGCAAATTTGCAAAAAACAAAAACAGAGTTCTGTCTGTTCAGGTTCAAGGTCCGTCACAAAAATGAGCCAGACTGGCAATGTCTAAATATTAGTTCCACCAGTGACCTTAAAACGGTTAAAACCAGAACTGGCCGTGTGTGCCTCAGGGTTTGAGAACCACTGCTAACATAGAACCAGATCTATTACAGTAGATTTATTTCAAACATTAGGGGAATGCATTTATTTTGTTACAACATAAAGCTGCATGACTTGCATGATGTTTTAACACATTTGTAGTTTGCATGAGAATTGTCTTTTTCTTTGTGTTTTTTCATTTTACTCTGTTTAGAGTTGTTTTAAAGTGCATTTTAATGCAGTAAGATTGAGACAGTTTATTTTTTGTGTTGTTGAAGCAGTAACTTCATCTTTTTTAGAGTTCTCTCTGTGTTTGATTTCAACTTGTTGTACCTCATTATTCTGCATGAACACTTCTGTTTTTCTTGTCGATTCTAGACTAGGGTTGGGCAACATTGGCAAAAAAAATTAATCATGATTAATTGTGCTATTTAGCTGATAACGATTAATATGATGATTAATCCCCTGGAGTTCCTGCATGTCCTAGTCACATGACCAATTTCAATCACTCTTGTGGTAAAGATTTTCTCTCCGTAAAATTTGTTACGAATTGTTTTAAAAGTACAGACTTCAGGCTATACATCAATTTTTAAATTGTGTTGATAGACCGAGTAAAATTGGAGTTATGATAAATAAATTCAACCCAGCCGGTCGAGGCAGATGGRRMCCTGTCCTGAGCCTGGTTCTGCTGGAGGTTTCTTCCTGATTAGCAGGGAGTTTTTCCTCTCCACCGTTTGCTCAGGATGGGAGACTGTGATGAAGTGATTCAACACAATCTGTTGGTTTCTTCTTTACATTGTTCTTTTTATGTACAGTGTCCTGAGACAACGTATGTTGTGACTTGGAGCTGTATAAATAAACTTGAACTTAAATTATAGTATTTAAAAAAATGTTTGAAGCAAGAGGAGCATCAAGCCTGGCGGCATTAATCATATGAAAAAATAATCAAAGTTTTTCTGACAATAAATTGCAAGATACGATTTTGCCCAGCCCTATTCTCGACTTCAGTTTTCTAGTTTTCGATATMTGTCATATAAAGAAAAACCCTTTTGTGTCTTCCTGCCTGTTTGTAACTAATACAAAAGCTTGTACTTGTTCTCTTTTTGTTCTACGACGGCTCAAAGATGTCTAAGAAGATCTCCCAATTCTCCGTCAAGGATCAGTCGGAGCACAATCAGCCTCCCGGCCGTACAGCGCTTGGTTCTCGGAAAAAGGCAGAACCTGGCCAGAAAAACGGGGAGACGTCGTCATCTCCGGAGAACGGGAGCTTGAACGGGGAGGGAAAGCGCGGCGGGAAAAGCCGCCGTCGCAGGAAACGCTCATCCAACCCCGGGAGTTGCCCCGAGGGGAAGGCGGACGAAGTGAAAAGCGAGGGGAAGCCTGACGCCCGTGGCGGTCACCCGCCCGACCAGCGTGCCGTGATGATGGGTTTGCAGTCGGAGTGCGGCAACGTGTGGTTTGAACGCAGCGTTTACGAGCAGGCCGAGAACCTCTACCACTGCTGGCTGGCCAACAAACGTCCCAAACAAGCGTCTGGATCGAAACCCTCAGGGAAACGATCGAACGCCGCGCCCGCTCCGTCTCCCTCTCGACCGGCGTGTCACCACGGCGAGCAGGTGGCCTGCCACCACGTCATACAGACGGCATGGATCAACAAGACGACTTTCGACCAGGCAGAACGCTGCTTCGTTGAAGAATCGGTTCAACCGTCGGTTCCAAACTCTCTGAACCTAAACGAACCGTCTAACTTCTCCGCTGCATCGAGGACACCCGATGAAGGGTATCAGTCTTTGACCCCGACTCCTGCGACGCCCGTCCAGACGGCTGCGGTCACGCCCACCGCTCGGCAGTCCATCAACGGGCTGCCCGTGGAGCTGCTGAGGGAGGTGTGGCTGGACAAGCCTCTGTACGACCGCGCCGAGGCCGCGTTTTACCAAAACCTTTACGGCAACAACTCCTTCAAACGCCCGGGCTGCGCCGCCACCTCCAGAAGCAGCYAGCACCCTCAGAGCCTCGTGGAGGAAGAGGAGGAGGAAGATGACGAGGAGCTGGCGACGGAAGAGAAACCGATGGCGCCGCAGATCAAAGCGGAGGTTTTCCACGCTCTTCACCCGATCCAGGAGGAAGAGGAGCCGGCCGACATCCCCGAGGCGGAGGAAGAGTCGGGAGTGCGCTTCTTCCTTCACCCCAGCAGCGAGCGGGTGTGGCTGGACAAGGGGCGGTACGACGCTGCGGAGAGCCGCTTCCATGGCGGCGGCGGCGGGGACAAACACCGTGCGGCGACAAAGAGTCGGAGGCCAGAAGCAGAAACTGCATGTGTTGCCCCTGCGGCCACACAAAGGGACAAGTATGACCAAACCAGGAGAATGGAACTGCTCCAGATGTTTCAGTTCATTTTCATTGACTTTTCTTTTTTTACCATCTTGTGTTTTCCTGGTTCTGAGTGCAGTTTTTCTTTGTTCGCCTTTTGTTTTCATTCATCTTGGTTCATTAATTCTTTGTGATTTGTTTGTAAATTTTCCTGAATGACTGATGATTTGGTTTATTCATCTTCCTTTAAGCATTTGTGAAAGTGGAGAGTCTAGTTGTACGAAGACTAGTTAAAACATGTCATAAACCATTTCAATACTAAAACAGAAAACACCAGATCTTACTTTTTTTTAATTTTTATTTTTCACGTCCGATAACCTTCTCGTTCTTATTTGTCCCCTCTAGAAAAATGAGCTCGGCGGATTTTCTGGTTCAGGAGAAGATCTGGTTTGACAAACCTCGTTACGATGAGGCAGAGAGACGGTTTTATGAACGGATGAACGGGTCGACACAAACCACACAGGTAACATTCTGTACTGGTCCTGTTCTGGGGTCTTTCCTACAGCTTAACACGTTAAATCTATGACTTTTTAACACTTTTTAATGCCACTTGAAAGGAAATTTAAGACTTCTCAATAAACACAAATGTATAAACAGTTTTACCCAAATGTTTATTTTAACAAAACAACTAGCTGCGGTAAATTGTTTTTAAATAAATAAGTGTTAGCGATTATTTTTCTGTTTGAGACAGTGTGTTAACATTTTTAAGACCTCTGAAAGATTGATTTAAGACATTTTAAGGCTAATTAAGGCCTTATTTTTGGATTGATGAATTTAATGCCTTTTAAGACTTTTTAAGGATCTGCGAGAACCCTGCTTTCACTTTAGATGGTCAAACTGAAGAGC